GAATGGGACTGGCAGTGATCTATTCTGGGCAGCTGTGGCCACCAGACCAGACTCTAAAGGGCTACAGGAATCTCATCAGCTCTAGAAAGACATTCATGAGATGCTGCCATCCCTCCTGGACACTGGCCCAGGAGAGCAGAGGGAGGCAATCTAGTTGCCTAGGTGTAGTATCCCTGGGCATAGACATACAACTGAGCAGAGGCATCATCAGAGTTTCATAACTTTAGAGCTGAAAGGCAACTCCAAACGCTACTTGTTTATAGATCAAGACATTGAGACCCTAAGAAAGGACAGGGATAGCCAGGTCTCAAAAGGCAAATGTTCAGACTTCAGCTGCTGATCCTATCCAGAGCGCCCCGTTTGCCATCCTTCTTTTCCCAGAGTTCCACAATTAGGTGAGGATGGGTCTCCTTCAGGGCTTGGTAAAGTTGATCTTTGCAGGCTTGGTTCCAGGAGCGGCTGAAGCTAAACAGCTTCCGCATTTGGCCTGGTGTGGTGGCCTCAGCTCGCACTGTCTCATACTGCTCCTCACTCAGCACCTGTCCATGCAGCTTGTCCAAAATAGGGTCCACTGATGTTACTCGAGCCACCAGCTGCTCCCGATACTGGTCCACAAAGTGCAACAAGGCTGGGACATCTGGGGTTGAAGGTGAGAGTGGCAATGAACAAAGAAAGGCTCCCACCACAGCCTCTACTGCCAATCCCACCCACTACTACCAACCCTACCTCTAACTCTTTGCTCACTCATCTGCACTCTTCCTTCCTTCTCTTTCTTGAAAGACATTTGACCATTAGTAAGGCATCTCTCCTCATATTTACATCTAATCTGGTACTCTGCCTGAGTAAAGACTGAAGGTGGAGTTTATGAGTGGGCCATTTGGGACAGTCCAATGGGAGATGCTGAGGGCCTCTATTGACAGGAGAAAGGTTTGGGAAGGACCCTGCCCCAAGGATTGACCACCCCCAGACTTGACCCCTCGCGAGGTTTCAATGATAGAGTCCCTTCCTTTCTCTCTTCCCTTCTCCTGAGTACTAGACAATACACCTCACAAATGCCACCAGGTCCCATGGTCTCTAACAGATGTTACTGACCTATTGAGGTTGGTGGGATGAGAGTGGCTGTAGGTCTGAGGTCTCCTAGAAGAAAGCAGAAAGGAGGAAGCATCTGTAATGGTGCTAGTTATCAACACACATGATACACCTTGAACTCTCATTCACTTCAAAGATTTTTTGATTCTGAGAAAGAGTATAGACAAATTCTGATAGAACCTGGAGTAAGGACTGAAAGTGCCTTTAGAGATTACCTCGGTGAACCTTATGCGTATGGGAAACAGAGCCAGAGGCTATGATTATAGTCTAATAAAAAGGAAAAGGCATATGAATGAGCAATAGCAATTTCTCCCACCACAAAGTGGGATCAGACTTAGTTTTATTCAGCATTGGTCTAAACTGAAACCCTGATGTAGGACTAATCAAGTCCTTTGTTGCCTAGCATTCTGGGCATAAATCAACTTTCATGTTCTTGCTTGACCTTCTAAACTCACACAGATCAATATAAGTTCTGGATTTGGATGTCAGAATCAAGACTTAATTTCAGGGGCCAGCAGGTGGCATGGTGGTTAAGGCAGCTGAATTCCACATGGCTGACTACATGGTTTGAGTCCTGGACATGAACTTGAAAAACATACTGGGTAAGTGTATGTGAATTTCCAAAACCTGAGAGGAAAATAGAGAAGTGCAATCCCCTCTGGATTGGGGGGTGCTTTCTTACTTTCCTTTTGCCTATATCTCTGCATGCATCCTATAGCAAAAGTAATGAATCAAGATTAAGCAAATAGCACATGAGAATAATTAGTGAATTTTAATTAAAAAACAATATAATAGGCTTCATTACTTATTTGTGTAAGGAAAGAAAGGGGTAGCTCACAGAATCTTGTGAGACCAAGCCCTGAGAGTGAGGAGACCTCAGGTTCAGTGTGACCTAATAGTACAGGGAGATGGACACATGGAGAGGGGAGTTCAGGTTGGGCACTGAGAGTACTGGGTCAATTTGGAAAGGAGGAGGAAGGTGTTCCACATTCTCTGTACCGATCGAACAGAGTCAATCCTAGAGTCAGCAAGTCCTGTCGTCAATCCTGACTCATTCACAAATTGGAGTATCTACTGAGGAAAGCAACTGGATAGCAGAGAACTTAAGATCCAAAACGTAAGAAGAATGATGGAATGATCTGGAGATGGATTTTGCATAAGGGAGGCCAACATCACAGTCTTCAGGTATCTGAAAGACTTTCCTATGGGAAAAGAGATAGCCTTCTGTGAATTCTAAGGAATAGCATTAAGACTGATAAGAGGAAGAGATTGGTTTCACACGAGGAAAAAGAATATTGCTATGATTTACTAAGGACCACTGGGGCATATGTATACTAATTTAATCTTGCAAACCTTCTTACCAATTAGTCTTTATCAACTTTATTTTATGATGAGAAACCCAAGACTAAATTGTACTAAGTAATTTCTCCCAAGATCAGTCAATGAGTGTGTGTCAGAGTGGGATCCAAGCCTGAACCTGATGTTGAACTCAAGCCACCACGGAGTAAAGCCCATCCTCTTAACGGCACACTGAGAAGCCTGTTTGTAGCAGCACAGGAGGTAGTGTCACTACTTTACAATTGCTGACAAGGGTTAGTTATCCCTTAAAGGACTATTTAGGGAATTTTGGTTTTTGAGAGTGTTGGTACTAGACTAAGATCATAAGGTTTCTTCATTCCTAAAAGGTCTTTTAATTCCCTCTTGTCTACCTTATAAATATTAAGTGGTACAGGGGACAGTATCTGATGTTGCCAAAATTGGCTTTATATGTACAATCTATATAACTATCTAGTTCTTATGCTTTCATCTCACGTCCAAGCTATCATGAGAAACTGACAAAAGCCTCATGGATTCAAAAATCTATTAATTCGGGACCAGCAGTTAGCATAATGACTATGTCACTGGACTTCCACGTAGTCGACCGTGGTTCGCGTCCTGGACCTGGTGGCTTAAACTCATGCTGGGCACGTGTGCGTGCGTGCCCAAGATCCTGGGAGGAAAATGGAGGAGAAGGGATTGCGGCGTGGCCATCCCCCCGGGGGATGATTTCTCGCTTTCTGTCTCTCTATCTCTGTCTGTCTGGCGAGCACATGGGCCCTATAGCAAAAACCTCTCCAAAACAAACAAACAAACAAACAAAAAACCAAAAATCTATTAATTCAAGGACTATTTGGAGACCCCATAGTGTACAGTGGAGCTTAGAGTCAGATTGACTCGAGTTTAATTTCTGATCATCCCTACTGTTATAACTTATAAAAGCCATACAACTTCACTGGGCAATTTCTTCTTCTCAATAAATTATGATTTACTTATACACTCCTCTTCCCCCCCCCCCCCCAACAGATTAATTCTTCCCACCTCTGAGCTCTCTGGACTTGTCCTGGTTTTACCTGGTTTCACTAAGCCCTTCCAAACCACAGTCCCATCTTTCTTGTCTCTCATTTGCAACCTGATCCCTGATTCCAGCTGGTCAACGTAGAACTCAGAGAAGAGCTGGGATTCTCCAGGGCTCCGATAACAGAACTCTAGTTCCTAAAGAGAGATTTGCCACATGAGAAACCAATGCTTATTATGCATG